CCGCTGCTGCCTGCATTCTGATTAACGGTCGTGCTCTTTCCTGCGGGCGCCTGTTGGCCGTCTTGCATTTCGTCCCTAGTCTAAGCGGCCGGTGGGAATCTGCTGAAAACGGCGGCCTCACTTAGAAGCAAGTCGACTGCTGGGTCTGCAGTGAGGCGCCGGCGTCCCAGTAGATGTCGTTCTCGGGATGCCCGGGTAAAGCTGCCCGACAAGCGCCTGGCTTCCTCCGGGTGCCCTTAGCTGTGGGCGTCTGTGTTAGTTGTGGTGCTTGGCTGTGGTGCCCCTCGACACAGCGGACCCCAGGGGGATCACAGAAGGGGGCGGACCAAGACCATAAGGGCCGTGCAGGGTGCAGAGGGGTGGAGTGTGTGGTCTGGCCACTCCAGGGGGCTGTTCTCTCGCCCTCTGCTCAGTGCCTGCTCCACCAGCCCCTGCCTCACTCACGTGAGGGTCAGTAAGCGCCTGTGTGCCGCCCCTGCCCTAGCTGCCGGGCTCCCTGGGGATGATGGGCCAGCCTGACGTCAGTTCCCCCTATAAATGGTAGCCTCCTCCTCCCCCGAGTATCAGAGGTTGCTGTGTCCTACCTGCGTCTGCTGGGAATGCTGGGGTGTCACTCCAGAGCCCTCAGGGGCTTTTTTTGGCTTGTTTCTGTTTCCACTTCAGGACCGTCTGTGTCGGATTCAGTAAGCCACTGACCTCCCTGTCACTGTTGCCTCCAGGCTCTTTCCTCAGTCTCCGGGCTGGGTAACTACAAGGCTCGCAGGCCTGCAGGGTGCAGCCCAACAGGTGACTTCTTGTGTTTAAGATGGCAAACTACAGCCTGAAGACCAGGCTTCCCGTCTCACCCGCTCCTTTCAGAGGGGCAGGCCGGCCTGAACTGTAAACACCTACTGGGTAACCCATGTCAGACCGCTTTGTGACTTCCTTATGGAAGGCCACGTGGACTCTCTCCCAATTTGGGGGGGAAGCAGAGCTGCTTTCGCGACACTTCTCCCTCTTATCTCCCCATTTTCACCCCAGCCCCTCAAGTAACTTTCACAGGAGGATGAAGCAGCCGATTCTGGCTCGTTCGCTGCCCGGGAGGCAGTCTGCATGCTTCTCGGAGGAGCAGCTGTCATACGGGGCTTGTGATCTTAGCAGCCAAGAATCTGGCTAAGACTTATTCCAAATCCTCTAAATTCCCTCTCGTAACTTTCCGGAGAGACAGGCTCAGAAAATGTCCCATCCTTTTCCTTTTACCATGGCATTCTTCGCTTCTAGTAACCTGCTTTTTCTCCCCTTCTGCACAAACCCCCTCCGTGTAACAGAAATAACTCCTGAGACAGAGCTTTACTTATTTGTCATTGACACAGAATTTACCTTTTTCAATCACCTGCAAGATTCAACTACAGAAATCTGAATTTCTCTCCAAGCTCTTAACCCTCAATCCAGAGAGAAGATTCCTCTTCCTTCGGACGTGGGGCTGTCTGGAGTTTGCCTTTTGCAGTCTTCTTTGTAAAATGTGGCTCCTGCTTCCTCACTGCATGTGTGCGAAAACCAAAGCTCATTTCTCAAGACGACGAGATTTCTAGTTTTCTAATCACTCTGAATTCTTCCAAATGTTGGCAACTTCATCTTATTTTTCATAGTCTTTGTTCTTAATTTCTCTCAGCGCTCAGGTGCCTCTCATTCTCCCATTTGCCCAGACTCTCAGAAATTCTTAAAGTTCTTTAAAGCCTATGGAGCGCCAGCCTACTGTAAATATAAAGGCTATGGACCTTCTTTCCAGGAAACTGTTCATTCACGTCTCTACAGATGCTCAACATCTGCTAAGAAAGTTGTGTAACTCTCTATCCTTAATGAATTCCACTAGAAATTTACTGCCCAAGGAATATATTCAACTAAACATGGAAGGCGTAAGGATTACCTTTTATATGAGAAAGGGAAATACGTGTATGTAGAATAAGAGAAGGATCCTACATACATTGGTTCCCTGAGGCTGCTGTCACAAAGTAACGCCGGCTCAGTGGCGTAGAACAATAGAAACGTCCTCCCTCACTGTTCTGGAGGCAAAGAACGAGGGTGTGCTCCCTGTAGAGGTGCTAGGAGATGCTGTTCTTGCTCTTCCAGCTTTGGGTACCTTCAGGGACTCCTTGGCTTGTGGCCACATCATTCCAAGCTCTGCTTCCTTGATCAAACAGCCTCTTCCTTCTCCCCCTTATAAGGACACTTGTCTTGCATTTAGGGGCCACTCAGATGACCCAGGGTGATCTCATCATCTCAAGACTCTTAACTTAATGACATCTACAAAGACCTTTTCCCCCACATTTTTAAGATCACACTTACAGGTTCTGGCGGTTAGGATGGGGACATAGGATCTGAGGGCCACCACTCGGAACTGAGCTTCTCGAGGACAGCTCTTCTGTACATATTGGACCTCTAGCTACACACAGACTACTATTTCAGACCTAGGATGTCACATCTCGCTTTCTGGTTTGGCCACATGAATGGTAAAGAACATGGACTTTGGGTCTAGATAGTGTGAAGTTTTAGGTTGAGCTCCACCAAGTTTTGGCTGTGTGTCCTAGGGCAAGTTACCCTAAACTTTAATTCTAATTTTGAAGTGGGAATAATATCTACTTCAGAGTAACTGAGGATTGACTGAGATAATGCATGCGTGGGTTAGAATGCTTTTTGTTGCAAGCAACTGAATACCTTAGT